GCCTTTGATTGTCCTATGATCCTGACGGCCTTAAAGGGACGGATGAACTAGAAAATACGTACATCAGCGAAGCTAAGCCTTGAAATGAGCTGAACTGTGATAAATACTCATACAAACGACTTAAAATTGGAAATTTTATATACGAAGAAAAATAAAATAAGATAAAACGGGAGAAAAGAAGAGAGAACGATAAACGATATAAAGAGAGGAAGAGAGTAACAGCAACGAGAGGAAGAGGTGTATACGAAAGGAAAAAGAACAAAATGAAGACCAGAAAAAAAGAACAAAGAAAAAGAAAGAAAAAGCAAAGGAATAAAGGAAGTGAGAAGTAGTGCGCACTATCAAGTCACGACACCCATGCACCAGGAGACAAATAACCCAGACGAAGAATTGAAGCGCCCAATCAACGAGACTGTTCCACCACCGGTTATTAAAGTGCATTCACGTGAACCACTACCGTTGTTCAACACGAATCGAATTATTTAATTTTGAAATGGTATTATTAAGTGTACACATCATTGAATTGAATCTGTCGATTTTATCTTTCAACTGCTGCTCAGCTCGCATTGTTTCATCGTCAACAGTAGTTCTCTTATTATAGTTACGCTTTTCCACATGTTCACTAATGGACCTTGCTCGTGTTGTATTACTACCATCAAATTCGAGAATAAATTGTCTAAATCGAGGTAGGATATACTTTTTATACAGTTTTATTAAAATAATCACGAGCGCACCACCGATAATTAGTAGCAACAGTAATTCAGGCCACGATTTATGCGGATGAGAAGTTCCATAGACATGATTTTCGATTTCCTTTGTTTTTTCAACAACTTCTTTGACGTGACTGGAATTAGCGAAATTGTTAATAATAAATTCCAATTTATTTTCGAAGCTCTTTAACTGATTATTATGATTTGCCAACGTCTGGATCAAGCCTTGATTTTTATTTTGATTTCGTTGTCATCCTGCATTATTTTTTTCTTGTGCTTCCAGCGCAGCATGGAGTCTCTTCTAATTATTTTATGTCATTAGTTAGCTTCATTTTTCTCACATTCTATTCATCGCCTTTCATGGTTCGAAAGACTAAAATCGAGCTATTAGTAAGATCCCAGGCGAGGAAATGATGGGTAAAAAGACCAGTAGTTTTTCTAGTCGCGATGGTACGTCTTGTCTTGTCTTTTTCTCAAAACGGATTGGTACACGACTAGTCCAAAATCGTTTCTCATCCACAGAACACGTCTTATCTACTCGATTGATGGGTGTCATTTGGTTTGTTATGTCCAATCTTTCTTGATAAAAAGACTAGGCACGTTGTATTATCCTGTCGCCCATCCAAAAGGATTCTGAATCGAAAAAGTGAGAACGTTCAGGACGCTGCATATGATGAATTGTACTCTGATGCATTGTTCGAGTCCAGACTAGTCTAAATGATAGAAATATAGGAGTGAAGGTAAGAGTTGAAAGTGCATATAATATGTCACTTACCAATCGATTAGCCGATCGAACTATACGATCAAATGATCAACTTCTACATATCAATAAACATTCTACGATACTATTTATAGAATTACATACAGAATTTTTTAAGTTTTTGATATCAATAAATAATAATTAGCTAGATAAAATTAAGTAAGACAAATTTAGAAAATATTGACTTTGTTTTTAGACAAATTTTGTCTAATCGGTGCATAACCATATGTAATCAATTTATATTCAAGAAAAATTATTTTTATTAAATGTAAAAATAAATTAAAAATAAGTTGAAGGTGAGAAAAAAAAATTTCTTTACATCCTAATTCTAGTTTATATTAGATTTCATTTTTCAGAAATGAAATTTCAAAATAAAGTAAATTTTTATAATTTAATTAGTTTTAAAATCTAAATTATTAGGATTTAAATTTAAAATAAAGTATCACATTAATACACAATGTTTAAAAACTATTCAGATTAAATTATTTCTCATTTATATTCACATCGTAATCATTGTAAAAGGTATAAGTTAGTATCTTCTGCTAAGAAGTAAACAACATACTTTTATATCTCTGTATCTTTCTTTGTGTTATAGTATACCTTTGGACTTTTGGTATAAAAAAACGCATAAAATCTTTACTCTTCGGGGAGGTACCTTGTAGAATATTTTCGTATGAAGTAGACAAAATTGAGAAATTATACATGAAAACATGGTCAAATGCAGAGAACGAGGTTCTCTTCTTATTTTAATTCAAAACAGAGAAAAACAAGAACAATATTTACCTTCTACATCAAGTGGCATAAACTTGGTAGAAAGAAAAAAAAACAGAAAAAGTATAAAAAAATATCGAAAGCAAATACGAAAAGTGCTATTAATTCAGCTTCAGCATATTCTTTCATCAGTACCGTGTGAATAATCTGCACTTCGATATATTTTACTCTCAGTATTTTTTTCTTTCTATCAACTTTATACATATTATCTACATCTATATTGATCGAAACATTATGATGGTTATTAATACTCATAATGGTAGTATAGTAAACCATGTTTTATCATCAATTTTGAAGAGTAAAAAGAATTTTTCCACGACAGTGAATAATTTAAAATATTTGATGTTAGCAAATCTAGATCTGATAGCACTACTCATTTTAAAAGGTCTATTATATTTCATCTCTTTAATAATAATATCTTTTGATTCTTAAATAAAGCTAACAGCCAATTGATTATTGTTTTACCAACTGATTCATATCCTAAATACATATGATTATTCATAAATTGTTCTCAAACACAATAAAGATAAAAATGCCATAAACTTCTCATCTTATATTCTAATTTTTTTCTATTCCAATACGGCTAGTTGAATCAAGTAGTTGTGATAATTTAGTGCAAAAAATAAAACAGGTTTTTTAACAATTTTAGACACATCTAGAGTAGCGTTGACAGTATTTTCTCGTAAATGGACTAGCTATAACACCGTAGAAGACATGGATTAGACCAGTCAGGACATTTTTTTCAGTTAATTCTAATTACATATTAAATTAAGGAGGCCTTCTCAGAAAATCCAATTTTTCGAAGACAAGTTGAGATTTTATCATAGGAAGATACGCTGAAGTCTCCTCTTTTAGAATATCTATGGCTTATCGCAAAATGAATTGATTTTGACAAACTTATCATCTAAAATTTGACCACTACTATCGTATTTTTTGAGAAGTTTTTACAGTTTATTTACAATTTTTTTCGGTTTTGATTTGGCTGCTTTTCCTTTGCATCAACATTTTGTAAAGCTTTTCTTGTATTAATCACTACGAGACTATTAACACTTAATATTAAGATCACATATTTATGGCCTGTCCTGAACGCTTATATATAATTGAGATGATTTCCACAAAAATCGATTTCTAATACTTATTTTCCGTTTTTCTCAAAATCAGTATTTTCGAGCATGTCATTTACGCGTGCAGATTTTTCTTCATGACAGCTTGATATGGAAGTAACAAATTTTTTATTGTATAGTAGACTGGTAGGGCTATATCGTCACAGAACGGGATTTTTGAATTTCTCTTTTGCTGAAATAAAAACCGTAGATCTTTCGTTTTTATCAGTGACTTTTTTGGTCATGAATTAAAGAATTTTTGAAAAAAAGATTTTTAAAAAACAAAGGAAAGAAAATTCAAAAATCGGGTCCTGTCACGACCTAGCGCTAAGGGTACTCTACAACCTAAAAACTGCTCAGACATGTTAGCTTGTATCCTTATTGTGAAAACCTTGCCCGCGTATAGGGTACTTTTGACCAATAAATTGACTATAACTCGCAGATTCGAGGAGATATTTTAACCATAATCTATTCTAGTCAAGACTAACATTCTCTGAAATTTTAATTGAATTTTATCGAAAAATAAAAAAGTTCGTTTTTGAGGGGATTCCGTCAACAAGCGTCTGTTTGTTATTTATATACCCTACACTGATGGCAATCTGTGGCTAGATCGTAGTTTATCATTAGACGCCCGTCGACTGCCGAATATAGTTAGGTACGACGTTCGAATCCACTATTCATCTCTTTTTTTCTCGTTTTTCTGTTTGCCTGACTAGCCTGGACAGATTGCACTGACAAAACGGACTAGACATGATGAATGTTAGCGTATTTTGAACTAGTCCATAAATAGTTGCAGGACATTTTGCATGGAGACGACCAGTCCTGATGGGTATGCTAGATGCTTCAGACTAGATCTCAACAATAGCATAAACACTTTAGACTAATCATGTTGGGCATCCTCAATTATTTTTTGCTTATCTGGGATTTGATTGAGAATTCCATGAGAACAAGGCACAAGCATACCTTGGTAACAGCACCAAAACATGTGTGTTACTGAAGACAAAAAGCTTCTAGGAAAATAGCCATGGATTAGGTAGATGAAATAACGCTTTAGAGCTATCCAAGAATTAGTCAAGATGCCATGAGAAATCTTCGAGTTATACAACCATGAATAAGGATGAGAACAAATATTTATCTGCCATTTATCAGTGCGTAAAAGTACAAGATAAATCAGCGAGACACAGAACGAAGATTCGCATCACATAGCATGAAGTAAGATCTACGGCGACTAACTTTCAATCAAACAGCCGTAAGTGAAAGTGATGACAAATAACTTCCTACAACACATTGTGCCAGAATGAGAATAAAAAACCTCTGATCAGGTGTAGGTAGAGCGATGTGCGTGTGGTTGTGACTGTGACTGTGAATGATTTATTAACTCAGATCCACGCCCCACTCATACCATCAGTTTGCTTATCGATATTATTCTTTGTAACACAACAAATACAATAACCAGGTCACATTCAATATGCTTCAAATCGTAGAGCAGTCATAATAGGTATGTATCAATCGTTTATTTCTAATTAGATATACACCAGTTCCAGTTCCACACTGGTCAACTGGTATCAGTAAATTGTATCATCCGTATTTCTAATTTGTTCTTGTTTTTCAGATATTCACTTGTTTAACATAAGAGCACTTGTAATTATCAAAGTCATGGCTAAAGAATTATCTAAGAAAGAAACATCAGGAGAACTTATTGATAAACGTTTGTTATTCTGTTTATTAATTGTAATTAGTGTACTAAAAAAAAACATTTTATCTTAGAAATGACCGTACTGAAAGCTAATACAGAGCTTAGCGAACCAGGTCAGTAGAAGCGAGATACATTCATAATGTGAAAAATTTTCTTTATCTTATTTAGAAATACAAAAATTTTATAGTGTATGTATAGAAAAATCTTCAAAAGACTTCTTTTAGTAAAGTCTATGTTATTTCTCTCAAGGATTTCAAGAACGAATGTCCATCAGGCACGATGAACAAAGAGCAGTTCTACAAGTTTTACAAGAGAATTCTGGTTTCGAAAGAGAAAGATCTTAGTTTTGTCGAGTATATCATTGCGTTTCTCATATTTCATCGTGATTACTTATGTTTTTTTCAGTAATATGTTTGCAGTATTCGACCAAAATCATGATGGCTCAATCGCTTTTAGTGAATTTGTATTAACTTTGGCCATGCTAAAAAAGCGTGATTTGAATGGTACACTCAATCTTGGGTTCGAAATGTAAGTGTACTTTTGAGTGTCTAGACATAATCAAGACATTGGAGAAGAAAGTTGCTCAAATGAATAAAAACCATCAGACCAAGAAAATCAGAGAAAAACTGCTGAAATGCAAAAAGTGTTTTGTCACTATGAAAGAGTCCTTTCTTCAAAAAGCAGTTGGTCTTTTCATTTCCAACGTTCGAAATGCGTGAGTTTTTTAAACTTTGATTTATTCAACTTTAGGATGGATATATCAGGCGATGGATATATTAGTTACGATGAGATGGTTGACTTCTTAGAGAAAATAGTAGGTTCTTTCATTTTCTGTTTTTATTCAAATGTTTAATGGAGTGATGATATCTTTTTTTCAAGTTGCGACTGACAGATCCTGAAGATAAAAAAGATATGAACTCAAAATTACTTACTATAGGGATCTTCAACATGTTTAATCTGAATAAAAGACAGAACATAAGCAAGAAGCAATTTATAGATGGGTATGAATCAATATTTATCTTTTTATCTTATCAATTATTTTGTTTTAGATGCAAAAATAACCAAAGCATTGCCGAAATATTTGGATTCTCATGAGTTTATTCTGCGATGCAACAAAAAAACTTTTTTGTTTAATATAACGCATAACAAATCGGGATAGAATGTTATTATCTTTTGGTTTTTTTTTCATGTTACAATAAATCACTTTCAAGATTGAAATAAAAAAACCAGCTCAACACTTCGAGCAATAATTTATTTTTGTATTTGCTTTTATTTATTCTCTGGCAATATTGATAATTGAACGAATCATTTTAGTATAGGTCATATTGAACTGTTTTGTCTCGTTCAAGGTGCATATGGTAGACCCTGTCGGATTGGTACCAAATCCGGATCTGACCAGCTTCGGCTAAGACTAGAGTCTGAAAATGATCTGTTAATTAGATGCGAGCTCGAAAAAGTTTGTATCTGACGAACCATAGTCGCAAGAAATCTTTACTTTGTAGGGGTGTGGGTGCGAATCTGAGTTGGTATACATCAACCAATACTCATACCTTTAATCGCTATGATAAAGAGAATTTCCCTTATCGATCGATTAATTACAGACATATATTCATATTAAGAAAAGAAAATACGAAGTAGAAATGATAAAAGATAATCTTCCTTTCTTCCTTATGATTCTTTCTTTTTTTAGTATTTGTTTTCATTGAAACAAAAGCAATCATCACTAACAAGAAAAGAATATCATAACCAACCAGAAAAATAGAGAATGATAAAAAAAATATATAACGATCACTATGAGAAAAACATAATCCCCGACAAGAAAAAAACACTCCAACCACTATAGGAAAAATAATGGTCAGTAACAGAAAAAAACTTCTCTTAAAACCCTTGACCTTCTCGACGACGGTGAGAACCTACAAAGGATGTGGTTGTGGATGAAGCAAAAAATCACGTCCACACCCACACCCACACCCTTATTATTTCTGACTTTTCTTTCTCTCTTATATAAGTGTGTATTGGATGTCAGATACAACATTTTCAGAATATGAATTCCTTTGAACTAAAAATCTTATGTTTACTTATTCCATACGAGAAATATCGAAAGATAAAATGAATATTTTGAAATAATGTATAGAACATTTAATTTGTTTGAAAAATAGTGTAACGATAAAATTCTTCTTTTTCTTCATCGAAAATAATCACTAATGGATTCATCTACAAAAAATCATTTACAGTTCGAAACAAGGAGACTTCTTCTTTTCTTTGAAAATAAATAAGCACATTTTTTTGAGAAATACTAAGTAAAAAAATCATTTCTCCTTTGCTTTATATACGCAGTTGTTTAAACAATTTTTATTACCATAAACTCGTCTCAGAAAAATCTAAATGAATACTTTTAACAGGTCTCCGTCTCACGAAAACAAATTTAGTTAAATGTTCTTGAGAACGAGGAATCTAGTTTGTTCACACATTAGGCCAGTTTATTTGATATTTATTTTTTTTCTTTATAATAAATCACATAAATCCTACTGCTTCCTTCAGGAACACAAATGCGAATCAAGAGTATTAAAATCTTGACGAATACCAACAAATGGATGTATCTATCGGATTTCGATTTTATTTTTAGAGAGATATGAGTCCAGTGATTCATCTACTGGGTGGGCTGGGTGTGGAAGTGTACAAGAGGTCCACTACCCACCCACCCACAGCCTCAATTTAGAATTGTACACTAATTATAAGAGCCTTGAAGCTTTCGATCATTTTATGATGTCTTCGATTGTATAGAATATTAAGAAAGATCATTAATATTACGATACTACCTTTCTGTCATATGATATGTGTAAAATTTATAATTATAACTCAAAGTGGGTGATGCATAAATAATGTGACACTTTCGTAAAACAAAAGTTCTGCGTCTCTATTAAAAAACTAAAAAGACACAATGTTTGTTTCAAAAAGTATAAAAGAACCGAATCAATTCCGAACTCTGAACATATGTGAGTATTAAAGAAGACTAGTGAACTAACAAATCAGTGGAATGCATGAAGAGCAAAATTTGATATAAAGTCATCTACAGATATACTTAGTATATTCACTCGAAGTAACAACTAACACCGTTTATCAACAAGACGACAAAAGCATAGTGCAGTTTTAAAATTCACCTCTCTGTGTAATTTTAATACTATTCCACACAGAACTGGATTCTACAAATTTAAAATAGTAAGTTTTTTTTAGAGAATTAAAGTGTAACGAATGAGCTCTCCTGAACATTTTCAACGTTTACATAAGGTAACAAAAAGTTAATGAGAAAAGCGCCTCATTGTTTGTGTCAACTGTTGTACTATTTTTTTTTCAAATATTACAATTTTTAAAGCATTTATTTATGAAAAATGTTTGTATATAAACTTTCATAACGTGTTTATCAAAGTCCTAAATATTTTAGACTATACACAAATGTTTTGACGACTAATGATTATATTAAAATGGATCAATATTTTCATCTATTATTATTCTGAGAGTTATAGTAGGAAGATATCATTAATTATCATTTTAGAATTTTTTGTTAGAGACTTATTCGTACAGATCTCTGTCTATTGCATGTAAGACAATTATGGGAATAGACAATTGTGTGCAAGAGAATTGTGAGAACAGGCAATCATTTCGTGACAGATTATATGCGAAACCTGGAAGTTAGAAGAAAATGATCAGTGTACTACTAGATACTGTGTATCCTAGTCAATTCTCTCTGAGCAACCAGCCTGGAGAGTTGTTCGGAGAGAGTTGACTAGGGTATAGATTATAAAGATATGATTTCATTAACTTATAAGTATGTAGCGAAGTATAACGATTTATTTAGTCTTCACTTGCTAAATACACATAAAAAAAGGACATTACCTTATCTTTTAAGTATTTAAAAGACGTTATGCATTGATAGCTGTACAAAATTTACTTTCGTGTAAGTTATATTAAAAGTTCGCATGTATAAGATACAGTTTTATGCTCTGCCATGGATTCAAGACATCTCAGACTTATGGATTTTTTTGAAAAGATCCTACATAAACGATTATATTTCTCAATCGGTTACAGATTTCGTATCAAAAGCAGAAAGGAACAAAACTCAATGCACAGAACCTAGAGTTTGACACGCATTAAAAGTTTCTGCATACGATAATATACAAAAGTTATAAGTGATTGCGCATACATTAATTTTGTAGTTATTCATTGGTTTGTACTTTTTTATCCGTCTTTTTGTTTTTATACTCTTTCTGTTAATTGAATTTCATTTTCGACCACGATATTTATGATAGTCATGGTCAATTCTCAATGACATTCATTAGTTTATCTGTGTTATATACGGTTAACAGATCAGAAAATATTTGAAAATTTAAGTTTAGAATAAATAAGAAACACAAAAACTATTGCCGCCAAGAACAATCAAGTCAATTGGTTCATGGTTTTGGTAAATTAGCCGGCGGACATTGGAAAACAAAGTTGGATGGAAACAAATCGGTTGCATGCTGCCGCAAGATTTTATAGACTTGTTGAATAGTACTTGCCTTAACATCGGTTACTTGTTCGATATCATTTAATGTTTTTCGTTCATCCGTCGCCAAGCAAGCTAAATAGATCGATGCAGCTGCGAGCGAACTAGGAGCTCGACTTTGAATATCACAAAGGTCTTTTGCGCGCTCGACAATATGAATCGACGCTTTTTGAACGTGCATCTCTTGTGTAAGATTAAGATTATTACAGAATCTTGGTATCAAATTCGTGACATCGATTCCTTTTGGTCGATTTGCTCCAGATAAACCTTTCATAATTTTACTGAAACATCGACCAATTTCCGTTTTCGACACTTGAGAAACGGGATAGATTTCTTTCAATGAACGGTCAGCACCTTCCTTACGACAGGCTATATAAATGCATGCTGCAACGATCGCATTTTCACTATGTCCTCGTACACATTTTGATTCATAGCATTGTCGAAAGCATTCACATGCATGATCGACAACTCTCTTTTGTAAATGTAGACGACCGGCCATCATACGAGTCACGTCATAACCTCTTTTCAATGCCCGATCAGCGGTCGATATCTGTCGTGGTTGTTGTATTGTATTTGTACCTTTGGGTGAAAATATCATTGTTTCAAGATTTGTGCTACCTAAAAGATGGTTTTCAGCGGCACCAACACGTGAATTTCCCCATGAATTAGTATCATCTGAGAATGTTCGCCATTCTGAGCTTACATCAATGATACGATCAGCTACGACGAGACCACATTCGGGACATATCATATCACCTGCTCGACTGTCTTCAACCAATGACGCTTCTGGATGAAATCGGCAAGCAAGTTGACTGATGAATCGCGACATCTGTTTTGTTTCTTCTTCTTCTACTAAACAAAATGAATGTAGGAATGAAGACATTTTCTTTCCTACATAGCGGCGCACGGTATCTCCGACATCTCGACACATACCACGTTTCGATCGTCTTACAAACATATAAAGAATGTGTAAAGACAGAATGCAAACTTGTGCAGTCATCTACTAGGATTTTTTTTATTTATCAAATATCTAATTAGAGTTATAACATAAATTTTTATCATTTCGAAAATAAATGATAAAATAAAATATAAATACTTAGGGCATACCAAAAGTAGTGAGAGTGACACTTTGACAGTATATAGTAGGTTTTAAGAAATTTTCTTTCTATATAGTCCGATAGAGAAAAGAATGCTCTATCGTTCTATGCTATTTGATCATACTTCAACTAATATGATGATAATCAATTTTCGATAAGACTTTTTTTATTAGCATTTGTACTCGTGGTACTAGATCAGAACGTGTAAGACAAGTAAGTATTATTCTATCAATAGACGAAAGTATTCATTTCCACAACATGATTCATGCATGACGTTACATATATATTACGCAATTACAATTGAGACGATTATTGCACAATAACGAAGTTAATTGCGAAAGTTTTGTTCTTTTTTGTTCAAGAAGAATTAAGTGAATGTGAACGTTTTTACTTCACAGTAATATTCTAACCTATTTGCTACTTATCTAATGTACGTTTGAATCAAAAAGAGACATAATATGTGAAAAAGATCTTCATAAATTATGTGATGCACATAAAATAAGATTGATGATAAATTAGATATTTCTTATCACGATAAATGCCAGACGTTATCAGAAGATTTGATACCAAACATTCGAATAATTTTTATAATGTAAAACTCTGATTATTACTCGTAGTATCGGGTTGATGCAAAAGTCTCCGCCGATTTTTTTCTTCTTCTCGATTTCAAAATTTTATTGAAACAAAATATCATCAATCAGCAACATATACACCGTTGCTATCTACTACATACTCCCATCTTTTAGGCAAATCCAGAATACCATCTTCAAAGAATTTCTTAGACAAAGACAAAAAAAAAGTTTCGAGGTCCGATTTTAGGTGGGCTTGATCATCGAAGTCTTTTTTGACCAGATGATTGCGAAGTGATCGAAACAGATGATAGCCGGATGGTGCCAAGTCTGGTGAATATGGTGGATGGGGTAAGACCTCCCACTCTAATTCTTCCAGCTTCTGGCGGGTAACTTTTGAGACATGAGGTTTTGCATTATCATGAAGCAATCGAATTTTTCGTCTTTCTGGACGATTTGCCTGTAGAGCAACCTTCAAATTTTGAAGTTGTTGGCAGTAAAGCTTCAAGTCTATCGTAGTATTAGGAGGTAGAAGTTCCCAGTAGATTATCCCTTCGTAATCCCACCAAATCGATAGCATCACCTTTTTTGGTTCTGGTTCGGGCAAATCTTCAGGATTCACCCACTGGCGCTTGGGCGTATAGTTGACATATAGAACCCACTTTTCATCACCTGTGACTATCTGCTGAAGAAATCTATGTCGGTTGCGTTTTGACAACAAAGAATTGCATATGGTGATTCTCTGCTGTATATTGTCCGAGGTTAGTTGATGTGGAACCCATCTTCCAAGTTTATTAACTTTTCCCATTTCATGCAAATGGCGATCGATGGTGGATTGGTTGCACCCGAGTATTGCTGACAATTCACGGGTGGTTAATCGTGGATTGTCTTCGATCAGGACTTTTAATCGTTCAATATCAGATTCGATAGGACGTCCAGATCTCGGACGATCTTCTAATGACATGTCACCTTCACGAAATCTTTTAAACCAATCACGACACGTTCGATCAGCAACAACATCTTCACCAAGTGCAGCACATATATTGCGGGCAGCAGCACTTGCATTGTTCCCTAATTGGAACTCATACAAAATGCAGTGTCGGATATGAATAGGAATCTCTGACATGTTTTAATGAAGAATGTAAATAAACTGGGACATTTACCAATGTCATCCTATAGTACGACACAAGCGGTATCATATGTATGAAAATCACGAATGCATAGTTGCGCTAGAGGGCTTTAAGAAAATTTTTAAAAAATCGGCGGAGACTTTTGCATCAACCCAATAGCGATTATACAACCGTTGGAAAAAAAAACACATTCTTCTATGAACAAATTTGACGCAAAAGTTCATGAGTTAAATTTTTCGCTGACGATAGCGACTATCAGTGAACAATAAAGATATATATGTGCATCTATTTCCCTATTAATACTATTCACAAATTGAGAAAAACATGAGTCAATCTAACGTTAATTTTCTTGACTTGCCAAATGAAATATTATTAAATATTTTGAATAAATTAGATAATATTTGTGTTTTGTACTCGTTATTCGGTGTTATCAATGAACGATTTGACAGCCTATTACAAGACAATATTTTTACAAACACACTGAATTTATTCAAAAATTCATCTGATGATAAATCTTCACTTGTCAATCCAATACTTGATCGATTTTGTATTTCAATATTACCAAGAATCCATTACAATGTAAAACATCTCACTCTTAAGTCAATGTCTATGGAACGTATTCTTCTGACTGGTACCTTTCCAAATTTAACGCATCTCAATGTGTGTAACTTTGGACGACATATTGCTTCAAATTATTTTACAAGTAAATACTTAACATATTTATATACGAAAATAAAAAAAAGATATAAAACTATTAAAATAAAATCTAACGAATGATTTAATTGTTTCTTTTTTGCTTAGATGAGTCAATCTTTCAAGATATTTTCAAACATCAAATAACAGAACTTATTCTTGAAAATAGCGATCAGGGCAGAGGAGAATATCATTAGAAGAATATACTGAAAATATTTATGCACGAATCTTGACTTTCTTCGAAAACTTAACACATTTAAGTATTGTTAAATCATCATCCATTAGTAAATATCCACCTTTGTCAATATGGCATTTACCATCAATCTTTTTTTCTTCTATTCTTACAAAATTAAATATCAATGTACGACGTATACATGATTGTTTTCATTTACTTGATGGTCGTCTTAAACAATTGAAAATACTCATTGTTGAAGTTGGGTATATCGACAATAATTTACAGATTATTCATAATACCGTAAGTTACCAGTAAATCGAGAGTATATCGTTCTAGATTACTTTATCAACTATTCCTATTGTAAATAATTAATTGAATGATTGAAGACAAATCTATCAGAGTTTTTTCTATGTAAAATATAGAATTGATCAAAATTGTATAGAGAATGTTTTCTTTTAACAGATATATGAGGATTTTTGTTTTAAGATGTTCGAATCATTCTATTAATAATTATCGTACGTAGATATTACCGTGAATGGTTAGAAAAATAAATTTTTATTCTAAAATATATGTTTCATGTTAAATAATAAGAAATATTTTAAATAGTTGAAAATGATTTATAATTTATATCATTCGTTCTTGTGAACTTTTTCCTGAAACTAGTCGATAAATATGTGTCATTTTATCTTTTAGAATGAGCTACCTAACTTGAAATCTTTTTCATTAACATATTATTATGAAACTAATGCATATGACAATCAGGTGATACCTCTACTTCGTCGTATGACACATTTGGAAAAATTAACTTTGTATATTCGTATTGATGATCGATCTAGATTTGTTGATGGTACTAATCTCCATAAGAATATTCTTATTCATATGCCACGACTTCATACATTCACTTTTTATATTTCTACTGATATTCAATTCGATGATTCAGTTGATCATCTATCTGATAATGATATTCAACAAACGTTTTACAAATATAGGTTATCATAAAATAGCCTGTAGTGTCAATTATTATTATCGTAAATACAGGGCAGTATGTAATGTTTTCTCACTTCCATTCACATTTAATCGTCTCGAAAAGATTTCCAATAAATTTCCAAATATAATATTCAATACTGTTACTTATCTGATAGTAGGTGATGTTATTCCATTCAAATATGAATTCTTCATTCAAATTGCCAAAGCTTTTCCATCATTAAAGGATTTATGTATTATCAATGTTACTTCACCATTATTGAATTTTGATTCATATACAGCTGATAATATTGATTCATGTTCATCTATTCAATATCTGAATCTTACTTCACTTACTGTTAATTATGTTGATAATTATTATATTGAACAATTTTTAGTTGATACAAAGACATATGCACCTCATTTAACTGAAATCAAAGTACATTTTGATCGACTGCAAGCTGTAACAGAGAATTTTACAAGAGATGCAACACGATACAATTGTCGCAATATAAAACGATTCATTTTTGAAAAGACAATTAATTATTCAAACGAATTGTATCTCTATTTTCCTTCACTTCTAGATTGAAATTTGTGTAAGTAAAAATGAATAGTGTAGGAATTTTGTTGCTGTATCTTTCTCAAAATAAATAAAGAATGAAGTTCGATAATTGTGTATGATATAATCTGAATATCAGAAAATGTTGATTCATCATCATGAATCTATGGACTATAGTTATTTGAGTACTTGGAAGTGAATTTAATAAGTAGATTTATTTTCTCGAAAAATGTCTTATATTTTTTTACTTTTCTTCCCGTAATCCAAAGTACAAAAATTTATTTTTTTTAATAAACTGAATGATATAATAATATCTGCATGTTAGTTATATGTTTGATCGAAGTCAATTCCTTTTTTCTTTTCTATGATATAGATATATGTGTGTGAAATGGTATGGGCGAACACTTGATTTGAAATAAATCTATGTTTATCGTTAAGTTGAACTCGCGTTTGTCCTTAGATTAAATCGAAATAAAAGAAGGACATAAGATTCATTCCTCCTCTAGTTAAACGATACGAATTATTTATAAAAAAATTCTCTTAAAAAAATTTAGTTGTTTTCTTTTTGTATCTTCATTCATCTTATAAACTTAGACAAACAGAAGAAAATACAAGAAGTGTTATTGCACTGATTCACAACTCTCTCAAAGAGGTTCTTGATGACACATTAAAGACTTTCTTTTTTTTCGATGTATTACTTTAAGATCACAGAGTTTTCGAAAATTTGATTAGGAAAATCCAGATAGAAACGGTTTAAACAAATGAATTAAACTTTTTCTTTTTATTATTTTAAATCTTTTAATAAGAACATAATAATATTCAAATTCAATTGAGAATACAACTTCGAACGAGAAATTTCATATAAATAAACAAATTTATATTTGATAAAATACTTTATTTATAAAAAATAACAAAAATGAAAATATTTCATTTAACCGAATTAAATTGATAAATATCAATGTTGATCTTATCGGAGATGAAAAGGATTTTAATAGAACAATAGAGAAAATGATCAGTAATAATAATTCAACCATACTAAATTTAAAAAGTAAAATAATCTCTTTTATTAATAAAATTTTTTATTTTGAATCTTTACATCCTCATATTGCATATTTCTCTATTCCATTACTGGAACATGGGAATTCGTTTTGTCAGAAAAATCCTCCGGCCTACCAAGATACCATTGTCTACAATTAGTTACTAGTTGAAAAATCTCAGAGCTCAAGATTCTCTACAATATCGAGGAGACAATGATCGAAGACGTAAGATTGCCGCTAAATGTATCCGAGTATTAAGTCAATTTATTAGACAAAATAATCAAGTTACGTTGCACAAATTAGCTGAAAAATGACGTAATCAATGTCAATTAAATGTTTCCACCAAGATAATCTCATACCATTTGAAAAGACTTCAATATGAAAATTGTTTACCATTGAAAACGGTAATGCTAACATCAAAACATAAAGAACACACCGAATTGAATGAATCCAAGCGCATTTAAATGACAATTGGAAATCTATAATATTTGCCGATAAAAGTTCGTTTCACTTGTTTAGAAATATAGATTATCGCTGGTCAAAATACGCAAAAGAAGAAAAGAAAAAAGTTCCTAAGAATAGGCAAAAGGTTCTTGGTTTGTGTTCCATCAGTTATCATGGAACAGTTGGCTTTGATTCATTTGAAAATATTATCAATAAAGACTATTTCATCGCAATATTAGAAGACAACCTGATTTTAAATGCTAAACGACAATTTAATAATAAATAGCGACTTCAACAAGATAACAATCCGAAAGATCGATATACAAAAACTAAACAAAAGGTTGGCACAAATGTTTCACATATTATGGACTGGCTGTCAAATAATTCGGATCTGAATCCAATTGAAAATCTTTGGAACATGATGAAACGTCGGATCGAAGAAAGAAAAGCAAAAAATATTAACGAGTTAAAAAGTTTTATAAATGAAGAATGAAATAATATTGAAAAAGATGTTATAATTAATTTGATCGACAGCATGAAAAAAAAAGAGATGTCTCTTGGTTATTGAATGAAAAGGAGAACGAATCAAATATTGAACTGTTTATTGTAAAACTGTAAACTAATATGTATTAAATAAAGAAATAGTTTTTTCAAACCGGTTCAACAAGCCAAGAGAAGAAATACAGGAAAAATATTTGTTCCAAGTCTTTTTTGCAAACTATTCTTTATCTTTCCTTTTTTCTAACTGCATCATAAGTCAAAATCTTAACTATGAATTAAATATTCCTCTTCGATTCTCGAAACAATACCATTTTAGATTTTCTCCGAAATAAAAATAGAGAAATCTCTTCTGTCTAACAAAATTTTCACAATTCCAACAAGTAAAATGTGCCTTTATCATATTATCTATTTGATGAGAATCGAAAAGTTTATAGAAAATTTCTTTGAAATATAACAACTGTTTAATGCCTCAACTAACAAATGAAAACAAAAAGTTGTTGTATAGTTGATATTTTGACAGTGAAAGATTCACATGGATAGAATCAGTCGAATCGGGAGACATATGACAGAGTTTAGCTATCGGAATTCAGCCACCTCCTGGTTACATCAATAAGGAATTTTGGCTTAATTTCTATAGATTTCAAAGTAAACTACGATTTGCATTTAAGTTTTCCATCATCGATTTTATCTTTATTGATGAGAGAGAGAATTGTTCATATAGTAGAAACAATTTTAGAAAATAAATTATTAATAATCAATGATAAATAAGATAAAGAAATCAAGCATAGTCACCTTTCACAAGACAAATTCGATATATTTATTTGCTTATAAACTAATCGCAAACAGAAAGCGACATCAACAAAAAAAAAAAAAAGATACAAATTCGAATGCAATCAACACGAAACATACATAAACACGGAACTTGAGCAAGAAAAAAAAACGAAGAAGATAAAATAAGTAAGGCTGATTTTGTGAATATCTAGAGAGAGAAAAACAAACCTTATTTATATCGACATATCGCCTTGTTTATTACGATAAAATAATATTAAATCGTTAAACGCGCGATTAATTATATTAAGATGAGAAAAAAAACACAATATATTTTATGTTCGAGAATGTCTCATAACTCGAACAAGAAATATTCGCTTTTTTTTTCTCTTTTTTATGACAAACATTCACGAAAAAAAAACACTAAAGAAAACAAAAATTGAATATATATATATATATTAAGAATATTAATAATCGATCTCTGACTTTTGATTGTCATTGTCAGAGAGATTGAAACATACACACACACTATATTTATATATTAAGAACACAACAGAAACAGACAAATACTGTAAACGAAAAAAAACAACATCGTTTTTTTTAAAGCTCTTTCAAGACACATACGCAAAGAGAGAGAGAAAGAGAGATAGAACTAATCTAATTTATCATAAGACATTCATACATAAATCAAGAAAAAAACACACAAATTTCAAGTGGGTTTATACTGTTAGATGAAAGAGAATAGATATATATATATGATGAATTGCTTGATGATCATTCTTTCACATAGATGATACTATTATCGAGTTTTTCTTATGTGCGTCTATTTTATGAATTAGATGCGTTTTTTTTGCAAAGAAAAGAAACAAAAAAAAAAAAAGAAAAAGACAAGAAAAGCAAGATTGAAAGATATTTCGATCAAACACGATTTTCTTCGTTTAATGATTTTATTTTTGATTCATTTGTATTCCCACCAGTTCCATTTCGATCACTGAAATATTCTATAGGGACGATGGCTAAAACAATAATAATAAATTCATATATTTTATCTTTATTTATTTATTTACAAATAAACAATATCTCAATAGTGAAAAGAAGAAGATCAAATCAACAACAAAAATAGATTTATTTTTAAATAAAAATTAAAAGCAAAGAGGCTAATTTAAGCTCAATTATGTGTAAGAGCAATTTTTAATCGAAGAAGATCATCATCTTTTTTTCTTTTCATTTAGTGCAATTCAGTGCAACAGATTATTCCAACTGATAATGTGATTCTTTTCTTTTCTTTTCTTTTCTTTTTTATCTTACCTACGCATTTCATCGAGTGTATACGCTGAAAATAATTTATGTAACAAAATAAATAATTCATTATTTATCAATAATCACCTCTCTATTACATTTCATTATAGACTTAAAACTTCACTCAACCACTAATTAGATTAGAATTTAAATCAAAATTCATATTCGAACTACAACCACCGTTTTTCTTCTATTCACCATGGAAGTATTGCTTCTCCAAAAATTGCCTTAGCCATTTAGGAATTTATAGTTATGCTACCACCTACAATATGTCTATACTCTAGGGAGCTGTGCCTCCACGTTTTTCTGGACCCGGACCCGAAAAATGTTTAAAATTTCAATCCCGACTCGCCTCGGGCCCGAAAAAAAATTGAAAATTTGGGCCCCAACTCGCTCGGACCTGGGTCTGAGCCCAGCTGGGTCCAAACCCGAGGTTTTTTCGATGAATACCTGCCGCCCTTCGTATACATGAACAAGTAAAAGATCAAGGTTTTAGCTATTTATTCACTACTCTCAGAGAAAAAACTCAACGTACAGTTATATTTTGTTGCTGAATTTCTCATCTGGGTAGGACCGGACCCACAAAACGTGTGACCGAGTCCGACAAAAAATAAAAGATTGAACTTGAACCCCCAAAAAAATAAAACTTTGAGTCCGGATCCGTCCCAGATCGTTGATTTTTAATAAAAACCGACGGTTCGAACAGTTTTCTCCTTTTACATCAATTTTTTTATAATTTGAGTACTAAATTAATATTTTCTGTCTCGAAAAAATCGATTGCAAGTCAAAAAAGTTCATATTTATACGCCAGAGTAAATTCTGTCAGATGGCGTTACTAATTTTTATCTGCTTCGAAGGGGTTGAATAATCTAATGAATGACTATTTTTGTGGCATTCTCTTTAATACAAAGCCAAACTCGAAAACTAATAGAATATAGCTGATGTGGCTGGTACCAGTACCCTCATAAATAGAATTAGCAGTGATTTCGACTAAAATCTAACGTTAAAAAATCTTGATGCGTTGTGATACAAAAAAGAAAATAAAGCAGGAGAATTGCGGTTAACCGTCGGTTTCCGAACGACATGGAGTGACTCTCTACACTATGCCCACGAGAATTGAGCGTTCATCCTCACAAAGATAAAATGATAACTCGATCTTCTAACTTTAAGATTATATCAATAGAAATGTAAACATACCGCCTTCAGCATCTGTAACAATAGTTGGAAAATTAGTACGTAGACCTCCGCCAGCAGTACCAACTGTTTCTTGTTCAATTGTTTTACCTTGTAATTGTTCTCCACATGCAGCACAATAAATTCTAAGTGCATAAGCTGGTTCACCATGTTGAAATAAATCAATACCTAAGAATAAATTTTGTTTATTTGAAATAAAAATGATTAGATAATAATACCTCGTAATTCTTCATCTTTTGATACTTTTAATAAATTAAGAAGTTTAAGTATGATAAAAAGAACAGTAATAAATATAGCTGTCCAAGCAATAACAACAGCTGCCGTACATAATGAATTAAGTAATCCCTTTAATATATGTATATATATATATATAGAAATATAGAAATTTTATTTTTTTTTTATTTTAAAATCTTACTCGCCAACTTTCTCCAAGAGTAATTCGATAAATAATTGAATAAAAAACATTTTCATCAAATGTACCATCAGTCTTGGGTCCAATTGTTCGTCGAAATATCGGTAAAGCAAATATTCCCCATAAACCACCACCAATATGTACTAAAAAATAATGAATTAAAATAATAAAAAAACAAAAAGACTTTGTTTTGAAAAACGAACCAGCAGCTGTTTCAACAGGATCATCGATTTGAAGTTTAATTAATAATTTACTCCATAATAAGAAACTTAATGAAGCAATAAAACCGATAATAACTGATGACCATGGATTATAAGCAACAGCTCCAGCAGCAACAGCAACCATTCCACATAATATTGAATTAACAGTTGATAAAAATACACGCCGTTTTAGATGACGAGCTGGTTGATTTATTGCTAAAGTTATTTTTTTTTCTCAAAATTATTTAAAAAAAAAAAAGAAATTTTTTTTATTCATACATTCAATAACTCGTTGTAAAAGATAATAAGTTGCACCTGATGTTGCTCCTGATAAAAGTGTATTAATAAGTCCATGTCCAACACGATCACCATATGCTTTTCCTATTATACGATGATCACCACCTGAATTTAATACAAAAAAACCAAATGCAACAAGTATTGCACCAACCGATGTTATCTATATATATATATATTCATCAAACAAAATGACAGAATTTTTTTTTTTAATTTACCGGTATACTATGACCAAATAATGGTAATGTACGAGGTTCAAATCGTCCAAAACGTGGACCAAGAAATATAGTACCAATTAATGCTGCAACACCAGCTGTTAAATAAATTATTGCACTACCACCATAGTCCTATACAATAATAAACAAAATTCAAAAAAAAAATCATATAAAATCGAAATAATATACTCGTGCACCAACAATAGCACCAAGCCAACCATTGGCGCCCCACATCCAATGTGTAAGAAATGGATAAACAATTCCTATTGAAAAAAAAAAACAAAATTATTAATCTTAAGAGGAACACCATGAGACCATCGAAATACTCGTCAATATTTGATATCATCATCTTGTTCAGCATCCACTAAATACAAATCTCATGAAATATCGTCTCTACAAATTTGAGTTTTTTCAGAATAATAAAAAAAAAAAACGAAGAAAACTTTTCGTGTAATATACTAAAGGATAGAGCATTGAACACTGAACAAAATTATCTATTTACATGGGTTAATGCAGAATTATTTGCCAAATATTATCTAAGGTCGAGCATTTTTTCGAGTATATCAACTGTCATTCAGTCATTTTATGCGAGGATCCAGGCTGAATTTGAGATATGTTGTGCAGCTTTTTCTCCTCTAGAAAATGGAAAAAAGAAAGGTAGACTCGACATGAAAAAGGTCTTTTGAATAAAAATCCGACATTTTTAGCGATTTTCATTCTCATGAGAGAATTCAATAGCAAATAGATATGTTATGGGGAAGCAGCGTTAAAAACTGTATTGAATCAAATACAATTTAAAACAAATTTTTTTTTCCATCAAAAACTGACCCGTAGGGGACCACAAGTGAATTTTTTATGGGAAAAAATTTCTTTGAAATTGTATGTGATTCAATACAATTTCTAACGCTAACTTTCCACTAGCTCAATAAAATATGGTAAAAATTTGTATTTCGAAGTTTTAGATGATGCTGAATAAGATGATGAGTGTTTCGATGGTCTCTCTCTGTTAATTGCTAATAAAAAAAATACCTGACATAAGAATTGTAAAAAGTACATAAACAGGTACTCGACAACGTTCAGCAAATGCACTAGCTGCTATATTTGTAACCAAAAATGCCAACATATAATTATAAAAAAAATTAATATATGGATCTTGATTATTTAATTTATAAACATTATTTGAATTTGTAAAATTTTCAACACCTGGATAAAGATCTTTACTACCAAAACGTTCACTTGCCCAAAATCGTGTACCTAATATTACATTTGGATTTCCACCAAATGCAAATGCATAACCAATTAACCAATAAGAAAGTGCCGATGTTACTATTAAGATTTATTTTATTTTTAGAATAAAAATAATATTTTTCTTTCTTTAAACTTACTAAATATAAGAAGTGTTTTAAATAAAGTATGACCTGCATTTTGACTTCTAACACCACCTGATTCAATTAATGTATAACCACAACTCATTACTAATTTAAATTTATTTTTAGATTTTTATTTATTTATTTATTTATTTAATATAATAACTTACAAAAGACAACAACGCCATTGAATAGTAGAAAAAAACTTTCAATTGCTTGTTGAATTTGTTCATTTGTTGCTGCCATTTTTTTTTTATATTCGAACAATACCTTTTATTATATTGTCTAGAATAAAACAAAAATTCGACAGACAGACAGACAGACAATACACAAACAAATCGAGATAAAAAAAAAATTCAAGGCTAGTTAGTTTTTTGCGGTTACAACAGAAAAAAAAAACGGTCTTGTCAATAGTGATTGATTTTCAACACGTGACGCTCATTATCCGCTAACTGGTAAGACGATATCTTCTTTTACATGATACCGACAACACCGACTGTGAAACAGCATCATATTTTCTAGTAGCATTTCGAACAAAATATGTTATCAATTTTTTTGCTTCTTCTTTCTATACATATTCATTGAAATAACATACTTATACGTGTTTATATGTCGAACAAATCTAATTTATCTTTATCACTTTATATTACAATTGATATTTTTAAGTGTTCAATTCTTTATTAAACTGTCAAATCTTCTTACCTTTATTTTATTAGAAAAAAAAAACAACAAAAGCATCGGCTCATAACTCGAACAGTTTAACTTTGTTTTAATGGCAAGTAAAGAGGAGCTTTTTTTTTTCTTTGCTTCGCTTCTCCCCCCTCTCTCTCTCTCTCTCTCTCTCCCTTCTTTTCTCGTTCGTCTATATGCCACCACTGACGATGAGTGAAAGCACGAACGAAATGACGTAATCCGATCTGCCAGATTCACTCTTCTTTTTCTTTTTCCTTCTTGCATGTTTCGTATAGCAAACTGGGAATTGTTTATTAAGTACAGACACACGATCACAATACATATAAGAATGATAATCTTTATTTTCAAACAATCAAAACGAGAGTTTCACATTCACTTTTTAAGACAATAAACTAACGTTTTATATATATTTCGAATGATCTTATACTTTCACTTTTCTTTTTTCTTGTTGTCTGATTCCTATAAATACTTAGTATTCGTTTGTTTTCTCTCCCTTATGTATACTGATTGATGTCAATAATATGAATAAAAAAGAAAAAAGTACATATACACACATATATATATATATATGTGAGAATATGTATTTGATGTATCTATTGAATATAATCAGGAGAATAATCAGATGTATTTTCTTACTCTGACAGTAGGTTAAAGCCTATGGCATGTAAGTAAATGAATGTGAATCTGAATGTATGATGATATCATTAAAAGGTCTTCTATCATTTGTCTGTATCTTGTCATATCGACATACTCATACCAATAATTAGAAACGAATTGTATCAATCGTCATTGTGTCTATAAAATAGGAAAGAAAAAAAAATGCCTATTATCATTATCCTTGTAATAAAAACTCGAAAATACGATTTGTCAAAACGAAATCTATAGTTCTTGCTTATTGCTCATGGATAATGTCAAAATGATCTCAAAATAGAAATTAATGTTTTTTTTTTTAATAGATGTATATAGATATAGATATTCGATCGTCCAATTGTAAAATGAGATTTCGAGGGAAGCAATTTTTCTCTCTATCTAGTTTTTTTTTTTTTTGTATGATGCAGTGATTCATATTCAAAGCACGACATCAATGTTGTTTCCTCTCTCTCAAACTAATTGTGTCAACACCATTCATTTTTTTTTTCCGCAACTAGTTAGACTGATCAGTCTCCGGTTCAGTCACAGCTCATCGATGACGAGAATAAAGATAATCAAAGGAAAAAAGAACTTCTCATTTTTTTTTTTTGACAAATGAGATTTGGTTTCGAGACATGCGGACATACTCAAACTTTCTCTCTCTCGATGTATATTCTTCAATTGAATTCATTGGGGATATTTAATTATCATGCAAATCATTTTCTCTTGGTTTTTTTTGTGGTATTGGAAAAATGCCAATAGTGTCATCAGATCATCTTCTATTCTTTGATCTTTACTAAAATAGAAAAAAAAAAGAAACATCGATGCATTTTGATAAGAAATAAAATCGACTGTGACCATATATTATCAATAATACTATTTAGCAATTCCAATTAAGTTTCATTCATGTTAGTTAGAAGATAAATCCCAATGGAGAATAATTTCGGGAATATACATATATATTTAGTTGTCTCTCTTTAGAAAAATAGATAAATAATTTACTATACCGTCACATTGTGTCAATGTCATTTTGATTATAATTTGTACTATTGATATATTCAAAATGTTGATCACATTCACAATTGATCGATTTTATTCAACGAAATTTAAAGATGTTTAACGAACGAAAGAAAAAGAAAGTAATGATATGATGATATGCATAGAAAAAAAAGAAAAAAAAGAAAAAGAAGAGATAGAAAAGGTAGATATATCGTTGTCGTCCTCAATATATTTTAAACTGTATGAGTCCGGCAAAGGTCAACTTTTACGAATAAAATTGTCCTAACACGTTGTGTTTATATACAGGTGTTGATTGATTGTATAGAAAGGAAGAAAAACTAGACAATCATTGCCAAGATTAATCATTGAAACAATCTTCAATCATATTCGTTTCAACTATACCTACTCATCAAATAACACTCACTCAACTATTTGTTTCTTTTTTTTTTTTGCTTTATGAAAATTTGATGATAGAACAAGTTTACGAAAAATTGACAAAATGACTTAAAAAGAAAATCGATCGTTTCTATTTATAGAAACGTGTTGTCATTCGAACACTTAAAGCTTAACTAGTCAGTCAGCAAGTTATTTTGTCTATTGATGATGTTAGTAGGCGATTGAAATTCAAGAACACAATATACTATACTTGTTATTAATTGCGTAAATCCCTTTTCGTGTATGTCATTCATAGACATAGACAGACACGCTTTTTCTCATTTTCTCTATATATCCATTACTACTTAGTTCTTATTATATATACGTTCCCTCACTCTAGGGACAATATCGACAACTATCAGAAGACGATGTTCGCGTGCAACAAGGCTACTACTGTACTATTACTACAATGTGCTTTTTCATTGAATATGAGAGCTCTCTCTCTCTCTATCGCGTTGGCGCGCGACTAATCCAATGTTTACTAGAGTAAGGCGGAGAAAAACGAGTGAGTGCAGCAATACACAGTCGTCACAATAGAATGGTAATTCGTAGTCGTGTCCGACATAGAGAATAAGTATATGAATATTCTCTTTTCTTTTTCTTATATTGAAAGATAATTAAATGTACGAGATGTAATCGGTGATTGTGGTCATATGATATAGTTTACATTCTCCTTTCGTTATGACAGATTAAGCAAGTGTTGAAATTGTCACATCTCAATATTGTTTTCACTACTTTTTACAAATCGACATAGATGAATGAAATAATTACCGAAGAGAATATATATATCATTAATTTTCAAATATATAGATTGACATCGAAACTTATCCTGTTCTTTTTTGTTACTTTTATAACAAAAAAAAAACAAACTAAAAGCATCATAGGCTTCGAAGTTTTTCCTATATTTCCTTTTCTGTTTTTTTCTTCTCTAGCTCTTTTTTTTTCTTTTTGATGATTTCGAGATAAAATCGATTACATATCATAGGAAATTATAAATAATTCAAATAGTCAATGCGCATCATAGACATATTTACTGATTAGTACGATGATCATGATGATTTCCCTATACAGCTAAAACAAGGAAAATGTTACAATTTTTGAGACATTAAAACTCTTTACACAATGTATATATATATATATATTACATCAACACATATATATTCAATATCTTCCTTCATCTATGTCTCCAAGGATTTTAGTTAGATGCCAATTTCATATATATATTTTTTTTGTATCAAGGGAGATAAAGAAGAAAAAAAAGCTCCATGGTCGTTCATCTATAATATACAACGCTGATGATTAGTCGAGGTGTCTATCTGTTATATTCAGAGGTCAATATTTGCTGGTTTATGAATATAAGAAAAAGAGAATAAGGAAGCCTATTTCTCGATAATATTGTCTTCTTACCCTATATATATGATCGATTATATCTACTATGCCTGTCTGAAGTGGTACGAATAGCATTCATTTGTGTCCGGTTATGGGACTACTATACAAGGGTAGAGGGCATCATCTATCTATCTTAGTTTTTTTCTTCTCTTTCTCTCTCTGTGTTTCTCTTTCTTGTTTTGTCTTAATTATAATGATCACGTCGAACACAAACATAAGAAAAAAAAGAAGAACGAATGAGATGAACAATGAAGGAAGAGAAAAACATGATGGTTTATTTTTCTAGTTCATTTGAATCTCTGTTAAGGTTAATCATCTTCTTGTCTAATATATTCTCTGTAAAATAGCTCGAAGTTATTCGTCTAACTAGGAAACACATGTTAAATGTTATTGTTGTTGTTCTTGTTCTTCTTGTTCGTTTTGATTGAATATAAAACAAGAAAATAAATGGATTTATAATTAAGAAAAGCATTAACATATTCAATCATGATCATTGATCATCTCATAGATTTTTTATTATCAAACAAAAAATAAATAAGTTGATAGAACAAAAAAAAAAAGATTTGATTATTTATATATTCTATCATTTATCAATTTTCAATGTAATTTGAGTAGAAAAATAAATTATATCTGTAACGATTGGTTTTTTTTTTTTTTTGTATGATATATTCGAAAAAAGATAATAGAGAAGAAGAAAATATAGTTACTAATAAGTTGTTGCTGTCGGAATAAAAGGGAAATAATTAATAAAGTAAATATGAATATGTAGAAGAGAGATTGTTATGTTGAGAAGAAAAATTTCATCTAATCAGAATAGTATTGTTGTTCAACAATCTACACTTAAGATGATTGTCTAGATACATTGATTGAGTTATTTTTATTATTAACATTATTCAGATATTATTTTAATCTAATTTTTTTTTTTCAAACATAAAAACAATTTCTATTAATTAATAATAGAAAACTATTTCATACGTATATTACTAATAATTGTATCATTGTAAAAAATAAAATACTTTCATTTTTAAGGTATCATTTCATCAAATATTGTGGAAATTTTATAGGATAAGATTTAATTTAACTTCAATAATTAAAAAACA